ACACACAAGCGTGGGGGCTAAAAGTAGTTATGGTTTGCATTTTGTTAGGTAGTGCATATTAGAGGTAGTCGAGATCTGTGTGTTACATGATGATTGAATCTCTGAGGCCGCCAAAAATTAAATAATTAACTGTTTTTATTTGTTTTAATCTTTGAAATACTTGAGGACAAGCAATATTTTAAGTTTGGGGGTATTTAATGTGCTCATAATTTATCTATTTTTAATATTCCTTTATGCTTGATTTTTGCAATATATTTTGAGTACAAATATGCTATTTATATGATTTTATATTTGATTGTAGGAAATGTACTCAAATGGAAGAATTGTTGAAATTTTGGGCTAAAATGAAGATAAAAGCAACTCAAAGGGAGAATTGAAGATTTGATAAATTGACAAGGAAGAAATTGAAGTACTTGAAGAGTTGGAGGAATTTTAATTTAAATTGGCTTGGAAAAAATAACTTTCTTATTCCTGAAGAAATAGGGTTTGAGAAAAGCCTATAAAAAAAAGGGCTAGGGTTTTATTTTTGAAGACAGAACTTGACCACCCAACCACCACAAAACCTACGCCCAAAATTCCTCTTTTTCAACTCCCACGCACCACCATCATCACCTTAACCTCCATCACCTCACCACCACCGCTCCACCTTCCATTCACGCAGCTCCAACAACCCATCACCCTTGCTTCCATTCACCTTAATCACCATCATCAACTCACCGACGCAACTCCACGCAGCCCTCCTCCAACTCCAAAACTCACGCCTCCATCATCCTTTACGCACATCATCATCAATGGAGGAAGCAAGCAGCAACGCATCAATCTCGACTCAATTTTGCGACTTCTCTCTCCCGGGTTTCATTATTTTATTTATTTTTGAGATGATGTATAGCTAAATTATTTAATCTAGGGTTTTGGATGCAGTCGCCGTACTATTTAATTTAATTTAAGTTATGATTTTGACTTTTTCATTAATTAATATTTATTATTTTTGTTTTTCATCCATGTGAATACCTAATCAATATTTGAATGCTTTAAGGTGCTAGCTGAAGTAGCGAGAGTGGAAGGCTAGTATTAGTTTGTAGGAATAATAAACTAGCCACTTTGCGACTAGTAATTCCAAAGTTCTTAATGTGCTTTGATTAATCCCTATAGTCACGAGAGTAGTCATAGGGTTAGTTTAAGTAAGAGGGTTATGACACGAGAGTGTATAATTTTTAAATTGGTGAATTATCGTGAGATTAATGAGAGTCAAAAGTCACATATCTATAGATTAAATTAAACTGAATAGTCAGTTGGTGAACCCTTTGCCCTAGGTTTTTCTTTTACTTATTTATATATTTATGCAATTGTTAGTTTTAGGTTTAGAATAGTTTAAAATTGATAAATTGTTAATTTAATTAATAATAAGAAATAGTTTTAACCTGGTACTTGGTAACCTTCTTTGTGAGATCGACCCTGCTTGCTACTTTACTACTAGTAATAGTATTAAGTAGGTAATTAACATTTGACTAGTGTGACGACGGCTTGTCAGGCGCCGCCGCCGGACCGCCCACTGCTGCCGCCGGACCTCCGCCGGTAGCCGGTCGGATTTCGGCCAAATTCTTGCCAACTCACCGGAATCCGACTGGCGGCGGTCGGGCGTGGGCGGTCTGGTGGCGGCGGAGGTGGTCCGGTGGTTGTGGATAAAAATTGTGTAAAAATATTGTTTGAATAATTTTTAAAAAGTAAATTAAAAAATTATTTGGATAGTATTGGATTTTGTGTTTGGGAGGTATTTTAAGAGGTAAATAAGACAAAATGGCAAAATAAAAGTTTTCCAAACAAGACCTAAGTTATGAGCCCAAAAAACTTGACTGCTATCTACCTTAATACCTTACGAGGCCTAACCCTTATAGTTTAATGTCTAATATCCATAACTAGGCCTTGGTACCAAGAGGGACCTTGCCCCCCCCTAATTAGGCTTCACAAAGCTCCTTCACAAGTGAAGATCACCTATAACATATTTTCTATCCCATTTCCTGTGACATCTTCTGAAAACATGACACCTGATAAGTAAACTTTTAATTTCCTAATGCTTTCTCATATGTTAACAGCGTAACTTCCCAATCGTTATTTGAAAGTGAAAAAAGCAAAAGAAAAAAAAATGATGGCATTGCTCTCTTCTCTAGGATCTCTGACCTCGTCTCCACCCCATTCATGGTGACAGTCAAATTTTCTTCTGAAAATTTCCACAAACCTGACTGTACAAACATTTCATTGAGGGCTCCCTGTTGGAAACGATTTAGGGCTAAAGTCTATGTTGTCAGAGACGTTCACATCATCTCCCATTAACTGGATACCGATATAATACCAAAAGACATTTGCACTTCACCGAGTTGAGTATTGTCTCGGTGATATTACAAATTTTAATCAATTTTAAAGTAATGAGTAACCTTGCTCTTGATTACCCAATAAGTCATTTTTCTCTTATAATTTCAGCAATAGTCAGAAATAATGATAGGAGCAGTCTGCATTTCTAAAGAGTCAGAGTCAGCTTCTTCTTGGGAGCGATTTGGTTTTCTCATAAGAAGAAGAAAACAATAACTACAAGGTCAGAATTTGAGAACAGAGACCAAAAACATTATGCTATAGATGAGATGAGAAAAAAAACAGGGATTATGTTAATACATGAATCTTGAAAGGTTTCTCCTTCCCTGGATTTTACGCGATCGGTTGAAACTCTTAGATTTAGAGCATCAAAATTGAGTTCAAATCTATCATATCAAATGCCAGGATACCCGTGTATCCCATAATCCGTTAAGAAACTTGAATAATGAATAATGTGATAAGGAGAACTGGAGAAGTGTCATGTTTTCACCTTTTTTTGTCTCAATTTAATTTGTCACAGTTGTCCCCGTTTAACCCAGTTGAACATTATTGAGATGAGGGAGTAAATTAGACATGTGGCAGCTTGTGGTTGTATGTCACAGGGAGTGGCACAACATTTTGTAACAGGTGATCTCCACCCTTCTTTCACAATGTAAAAATTGTGACGCTATTCCAAGATTCAGTGATAAAGTAACAGTTTTGTGAATTGCCATCAACTCCGTTTACAGCACATTTGTCTGGATCCTAATTAAATGTCCACTTACCTTTACATTTTGTATATCATTTCCGAAGTATGATAATAGTGCTTCCTTTCTAGTTCCACAAGAACTGGAGAAATCGTCATGATGCTTTGTCCTCTGAAGGCTCGCCTTGTGTAGATTAAAAGAAACAGAGACGTCGTGGAGGACATCCTGGGAATGACGGATCTCCCTGTGTTATCTCCCTACTTGTTTTACAGTTTTATATCTTTATTGTTTAGGTTTATTTTATAACACATGCATGATATTGAATTTAAAATTATTTACTCATGTATATTTTTTCTCTCTCACCTTTTACAGCACCTGCGCAACAACGCCCCCGAAGAACTATTTGTGATTTATATGATTGACGGAGGAGTAGGTTTGTAGAAGAATTTTGAAAACCATAGATTTACCTTAACAAAATTCTACTTCTCATCTCCTTCAAGTTGCATCTTCCCTTTCACTTCCTAGATGTTCCTCCACCAAGTTAGATAAAATCATTGAGTATTCCATCATACCTGAGGGAGCTGTTGTCGAAAAAACAGTTCCTCCTATTCTCAGCCCGTACAATATTTACTGTAAAAGAGGAATCCGAACCCTTTTATCCTCTCGCAGTCTAAAAACTAAAGAATATGTCCAGACCTCTAAAATGGACAATTGTGCAATACAAGCTTCACCCAACGAGCAATATGTCACCTTGACCATTCCACCTGAGTTAATTCTTGGATGGAAGACAGAAGGCTATTCACACTTTCACTTAGGTGCAGTACAGTTCGTGCTCACATATCACGGACGGAAAGGATTACCTGTATTAGCTCGAGTTGCTCTCCTTGACACCAGATTTGTACAATATGAGCATGCAGTTATTGGCACTGTCCTTACCACCCAAAATGCAGGAAGCGTTGTTGTCACCTTCTTCCCTAATTTTGCAGTATCATTAAATGATGCCCATCTCTCCACGGCTTTCAAGGTGCAGCTCCAAATTACCGGAGCTGAACAGATCTCTTCATCAGTAATGGCGACTCTACACCACCAAATTGTCCACCGTGTCCAAGACCACAGCCTTGATCTACCTAGTCAAGGCATTCGAGATACTCCACTAATTTTTGCAGATGCCAGCACAAAAGTACCCACCATCGTTCAAATCCCATGGCAGATCCAAGAAGAGACTTAGAAAAAAACTTGTCCTTACAGAGTGGATTACCAACTATGAATCCCTCCACATGAGACTGTCAAGGCCATAGATTTTTAGTTTAAAAGACTTCCAGGAGGCAAAGTCAAAACCATCTTCACCAGTCAGAAAAACGAAGGCCCATCCAATCCTGAGTTTTCGTTGATGATTCAGCCTGTACCATCTACAGCAGATCCTAACATTCCCATCCACAAGTTCTTTCCCGACGGATCTTTTGCATACACAGACAAGATCAATGGTCATTTTATCTGGGATCTAGATCCCTCCATGTGTGATCCAGACAGTTCTTGCGGAGAAGAAGATGATGATGAAGATGATTACTCCTTCAGGAGAAGAAGAAGAAAGAAAAACAAAAAAAACACCCATCTCTAAATGCAAAGAGGACGAAGAAGACCCGGATATTGATCCTCCTCGTCCCACTCCATTGCCTTGTTATGATAAAGGCCTTACTCTCAGAATCATGCAGCATACAAAGTGTGGCGCATTTCCCTTCACTACCAATGGTTCCAGTATGACATAGATTTCTCACAAATGGGGAGAAGAGAAGACCCAGTCCAAAATGTTGTCTCCAAGCCATTCATCCAATCAACAATTGTAGAACCAGATGGCTCAAGAAAACCTCTCTCTCAAGCTAAAGAAGTCCTTAACCGCCAAACCACCAACGCTAGAGCCCAAAACAAGTCTTCACCTTAAATTCAAAGATGGATCGAGTAATTGCAAAAGTAGAAACAACAAAGAAAAAGCTTCAAGCCATAGAAGATAGGCTTCAGAGTATCTATGACAACTTGGCGGGTAAGATAAAGCAGCTGGATAAAGACCTCTATCTCCTTATTGAACAACAAACCTTTGGAAGAGAATTTGATGAAAAGGAAGCTGAAATCAGAATGCTCAGAAAAGAACTTGATGTCATTGAAAAAGATAGGCAGAAGCCCTTCTTTCCCACATTCCATAGCCTACCTACTCTTGATGTATCTTCTTCACCACCAGATTGTTCCAAACGTTTTTTTCATGGCCTCGAGTGTGGCTAACAAGGTCCCTACTCTGAGACCTAAGCCCAGATTGTCAGCTGAAACCAAACAGAAAAATATCAAGTCCTCCTCTACATCATCCTCAAACCCACACACAGACTCCCTAATGATGACATTAAGGTGTCCCATGCCTCTACAGATGCAAGAGCTAGCTGAGACCGATCAAAGTGACGACGACTCTTCCACTTCCTCAAATATACAAGAAGCAATAGAAGCAGACCAAAGTTCAAGTGATTTTAACTCTACCAATCACTTCTCATCTGATGAATCTGAAGCTGAAAGCATCACTTCTAGCTACTCAAAAAATGAACATACCCAGGTTGCTGACATCACATCCATTTTAATGGCCACTCAAGGAGAAACCAGTCAACAAAGGACAGAAGATAGTGATTTGAGATAGAGTCTGAACCAGAAACTGAACCAGCAGATGATCAACACCGTCAAAACCATCAATCCGGTACAAAACTAGTAAATGGATCATGGTTCACATTTGACGATGTTCTAGTGCATAAAAGAAGAGAAAACTCCACACGTTTGCTGCTTGGATTGATGTGCAAATGGCCAAAGAAGAAGCTAATATTTTCAAAGTCCATAAAGATTTTGCGTCCAGATTTATAGGGACGCTGAGAGAATGGTTCCAGAGCTTGGCAGAGTACAGAAAGCTCCAATTCCTCCAAGTCACTAGTCCTTCGGTTGCACTGGGGATCATTCACCAAGAATTCATTGGAGTTGCTACCCTCATTCAGAAGATGGCCAACCAGGAATGCTTTTCCATGAAATGCTGCTCATTAAAAAAGAAAGACCTAGATCTTCACTTCAAGAGGATGTCAGAAAAGTTCTACATGTTAAATGGCTACAATGATCCCAATCTCAAGCATGTTTTCCTAGCATCCCTTCCCAATGAAATTCAACCTGAACTCCAGCGGATGATCACGTCCGGAAGACGAGATGTTACTTCTTTCAGTTTGGGAGAATTCCATTAGATGACATTTGCAGCTATTGAAAAGCTATGTGAACAAAGATCTTTCTTTAAGGACTGGATGGATAAGAAATCAACTCTGAAGAAGGCATGCAACAAGTCTCACCTACAGATCAAATGCAAACCTCCTTGTTCCTGCTCAAAAGGCTCCAAAAAGAAGAAACACAAATGCCGGAAGACCAAATGTGGAAAATCGAAGAAAGGAAAACTTCGGTTCTTCAAAAAGTAGTTCAACAGGAAGAAGAGGAGCGATAGGTGTTTCTTATGCAAGCAGAAAGGTCATTTTGCAAAGAACTGCCCTAACAAGAAAGAGAAATCAGCCCAGATGGTATCCCAAATCCTCTAGATCTCTAAGACCTCACTAGATGATCCAGACATTGAGTCCACTTATTCTGAGCAGGATGAACAAACTGCTGAGACTGTCTTTGCAATACAAGATAACACCTCAGAAGATGAATGTCTAAGCACTGATGATGATTCCGATGATCTTCCCATTTACATGACACAATCATGCTCTATTTAACCCCTCAGCTACAACAATGTGTCTTACCAAGTAGATAAATGCACTTCTACTCCACATATCAAGGTGCAAATACTTCCCTCTTCTTTTGAAAGGCCAGTCAAAGTGATTGGATTCGTGGACACTGGTTCTATAAAAACTCTCTTAAATCCTGATGTCCTTCCCAAAGATGCATGGAAAACCGATTATGAGTATTTTCAGAGCAGTTGATGGCCAACAGTTCACTACATCCCTCATCTCTAAAAAACCTATAGGGATCCGGTTCTTCCCTAAATGCACTATTTGGATTCATGTCATTAGTAGCAAAATCCGTGGGAAAGATCTCATAATAGGCTTTGACACATATTGCAAGGCTCAACGGCTACAGATTCTTTTAGCAGGAATAAAGTTCAAAAGAGAGTTTCAGCCATTCTCCTCCATCCACAACTTATTTGCTATCACTGATGCTCCAGAAGAATACAGAGAAATTGCAAAACAACTCAAATTGTGTTGTGCAGATTCTCATCGAGACTGTCAACATGAAAAGCCTTTATGGAAGAATGAAGAGTTCTTTGTTCATTTACCATTCAAGTTGAATGAAGATGCAAACCCTTTGAAGGCCTCCCATCCAAGAATGATTCCTGATGATTTGGCACTAGCCCATGAAGAATGCCAGCAACTTCTTGCTCTTGGGCTTATTGAGCCCACAAAGTCCAATTGGGGTTGCCCTGCCTTTTATGTCAACAAAAGATCATAACAAATAAGAGGAAAGAAAAGGATTGTTATTGACTACAAAGCCTTACACCATTTTCTTTTTTATGACAAGTTTCCTCTTCCCAGAACCCAAACTTTGGTTACCCATTTAGCCAAAGCCAAATATTTTTCTAAATTTTAATCTTAAGTTTGGATTTCGGCAATTAGGTGTTGACCCAAAAGGCCGATACAAAACAACCTTTTGTATTCCTACAGCCTAATACTAATGGACTGTCCTGCCATTTGGCCTCAAAGAAGCCCCATCACTGTTCCAAAAAGCCATGACCAAAATCTTTGAGCCCATCCTTCACAATTCTCTAATTTATATTGATGATATTCTTTTATTTTCTGAAAATCCAGAGTCACATGAAAGTCTTTTAAAATAATTTGTGTCTATTAATATTCCATGTTGTCTAAAAAGAAAGGTCTCATTAGTCAATCCTCCATAGATTTCTTACGCATGAAATTTTCTGAAGGGTCTTATCAACCCGATCCCCATATTGCCCAATAACTTCTCAAATTTCCTGATGAAAATCTTTCTACTAAAGAAATCCAGCAATTTTAGGAATTATTAACTTTATTCGAGATTTTGTTCCTAATTGTTGCAGGTACACCAGCTAGCTGTCCAAATTACTCCGGAAGAATGCACCGCCCTGGGGCCCAAACCAGACAAATGCTGTTAAGACTTTGAAAAAACTTTGTCAGAATCCACCACCACTGAAGATTCCCAGCACCAGCCACCGGATTCTGCAGACAGATGCCAGCAATGAACATTGGGGAGCAGTCCTCATTGAAGAGATTGATGGAAAGAAAAGCTACTGTGGACACGCCAACGGACAATTCAAGAACTCGGAGAAGCATTACCATGCAGTATACAAAGAAATCTTGGCCGTCAAATATGGAATTAAAAAATTTTAAGTTCATCTTGTAGGTCATCATTTCGTTGTGTAGATGGATAACACGTCTTTCCCAAAAATCATGAATCTATATAACAAAGGAGTCCCGGAACCACAATTATTTAGGTTGAAGGATTGGTTCTCTAAGTACCAGTTCTCAGTGAAGCATTTAAAAGGAGATACAAACATCATCCCAGACTAGCTATCCAGACCTCAACCAGTTCAACCAATACATCTTATCTCAGCCAAAAAATCATCCCGGTCTTCATGGCTTCTTCATCTGAAACAACCCCAGAAATTCAACCAATCCATACTTTTCCCCCAGAAGCAAAACCATTCAAGACCTTGAACGAAATGCAGCAATTTGCTAGAAATAATGTGCTACTCTACTTGGCAAAATTTCTCAGTGCCGCTGATATTCCTTTTGAACGAGGATGTTTCTCTCTTGAATACCCCTTTGGAACTATCATACGCATATTAGTGACTAATCTATTGCCTGAACCTAGTCTATGGTATCTTTGGTGCATGGCGGTTCTTTATCGCTTTGCAATGGAAATACCCCTTTTACCATTGTTAGAATATATCCAAAACCCACAAGATGCAGGATCATTCCTTTGGTCATTTCTCCACTGGTTCGAAGAATTAGAGACTTGGGATACCATGGTGCGAGGAGAAATTGATCTCCAAGCTAAGCGTGGTAAGAAGCCTGACAGAGTTATCATGTTATTTCACATGCCCTACTATCATTGAACTCATGGAACACTCATCCCACACTCCTATAACTACAAGTGGGCGAGCCTAGAAGGATCTATTTTCGAACACCCAGATATGCTCAACAGTCTTAGCAAGAAGCTTAGTAGTGATAACAAGCTCTCTTTCACCATCCCTACTAAGAATCTGAAATACACGTCCTATTTTCTTGTGGAAGGAGAAGTACTCAATCACGAAGAAGTTTGGCCAAAGGGCACTCGGATGATAAAGCAATCATCCCAACCAGAAACAGAAGACCAGGACACACCAATGCCAGACTACCCAGAATTAGACCCGGATCCAGATTCACAAGATCCATGGGAGTATGAACACTGTCATGACATTAATTGGGATGGTTGTGGACTTTTCTGGTTCGAACCATACACAAAGGAGTACTATGAGTATCATTGCTCATGAAGGCTATGTCACGGGTGCTCTGCAAAGGACAAGGATCGATACTATTTTCCAGTTCTAGAGTCATGACTCACCGGACCTAGAGTTGTGATTCATCAGTCTATGTTTGTCTTTATTATTAGAGTTGTCTGTATTATTAGAGTTGACTTGATGACAACATGTACTATTAGGTACTATTTAGTCACGTTAAGAGAAAGGTTAAGTCTTGTGATATGTAAGAGTCTAGTTGTCATGTTCGGCAAGATGATAGTGGTAGGGTAGGGAATTGACTAAGTTTGTGATGTTAGGCAAGAAAGTCCAATTGGCATTGATTTCTATTTGGAGTCCAGCCCTTATAAATAGGGCCTTGATGTATGGTATTCCCCCAGACAGGTTTTGAGAAATAAACATCCTTGTTCTAAATTTATCATGTATCATGAGTTTCCGATAGTTCTCTAACTCCTAAGCATAAGTATGCTCTGCAATTGTCCCTTTAGAGGATCCTCTGCATCAGAAATTGCCAAAAGAGATACGTGGATGGTATTGACAGTAATGATCTCCTCTGTTTTTGAGTTGTATCACTGTAGTTCCCGAAGAAATCCGGCAAGGCAAGGAGTGCCGCTTAGGGTTTAAGGGAGTACGGTGGTATTATCCTTAAATATGTGGAGCTCTCGTACCCCTGTGACTATTTTCAACTAATATAAACTGAATTTAATTTTTTTATTCAAAAATAGTAATATCCATAAGAATTACGTCACGAAATTTTAGGTACATGCGAATTCGAATTGATAAATCTTTCAATGTGATTGATTCATATGCAAATGAAAATCACCAGAGCTTAAGTTTAAATGTAAATTACCAGAACTTGGGGAATTCACTGTCACATCAAATGGTATCCTTATCAAAATTAAGAATTTTCTAAATAGATTATGGCGATTTTATTTTTTTTTTGAAAAAAAATCATGATCTCCTTCATAAGGCGTCAAAGGAACGTGGCGGCAAATTTGCTAGTTAAATTAAAGACTGAACCACAAAACATGTCATTGAACTATTAGGTAATTTCAATCAAATTTATTCGCAAAATTGGCCATTGTACTAAGCCAAAAATCCATCCGAGGTCATTTTATTAATTTTGGCCGTTAAATAGTGGCAGAAAGCTATTTTTCACGTGATTTTGTGTTCAAGGATATTTTCATCATTCTCTATATCTTTTAAAATTTTAAAATCTTTTAATTTAATTTTTTTTACAATTATTCTTCTTATACTTCCTAACTTATATATATTGGTTCTAGCATAAATACTAAGTTTAAAAATTAATTTACCTTTTGTATTTTAATCTCAAAATTATAAAAAAAAATTTAAAAAAATAAAGAAACTGAAGAAGAAAAATCTGAGTTGAAGTCAACATGAAAATTAATATTTACCATTTTTTGGGGGGGGTAACACAGGGAACTCCACCAGAGATGGGTAAACCGATACCCACTGCAATAGCCTGCAAACCACAGTGGGAGGTAAATCACTCTAGGCAATCCCGGGATGACAAGCTCGGATGCGAAATCAGGGATTCATTAGTGGCTTAGCTATAACAAAACTCGTAGAGATGCCAATAGGCAAAGTGAGAGCCAATCCCTCACTTTTTGTTCGAATGGAGGATTGAATTCATGACCTCTTCTTGGTAAATTAAATAAAAACTAAAAGAATCATGAAAATCATTTTAAAATGGTACATTATTTTTTTGAAAAACTATATTAACGAAAATTTTAAAATGTCAAAGTATTTTTAAAAATAATTTTCACGACTCTTTTTATTGGTTTAAAACAGTAAACTATTAATTTTTGTATTTAAATAAACTCGATTTTTTCTTCTTTATTTTTTTTATTTTTTTTAATTTTTTTTATAAACTAGAAGTTAAAATACAAAGAGTAAATTGATTTTTGAGATTTAGTTCTTATACTAATACCAGTATATACATGTTAGAAAGTATAAGAAGAAGAACTATTAAAAAAAATTAAAACGACAAAAATCTAAAAAATTAAAAAATATACAAAATGACAACAATTCCCATGAACACAAAATTATGTGAAAAATATATTTCCGTGAGGGCCAAAATTAACAGAATGACCTCAGATGAAATGTTAATTTTTGACTTAGGATGATGACATGTGATGAAATTAGCAATAATTCAATGATCTGTTTTGTGCATCACTTTAAATTAAAATTCTCTTTCTGTGGGAAATGCACACATTGTCAGTGTTCCTGAAACACTAGAAAAACCAGTTTGATTGTCCGACTTTAAATTAAAATTCTCTTTCTGTGAGAAATACACGCCTTGTCAGTGTTCATGAAACACTAGAAAAACACGTTTGATTGCCCTGACTCTCTTTCAAAGAGTTGGTATGTAAGCTAAAACTTCATCTCTTTATCTCTATTCTGACTGATGTTAACGACATAATGTTTATTTGATTGAACCAGAAGTTAATTGATGTAAAAAGCACCAAAATAAATTGGTGAACTATGTCCTCAAGTCTTAAGAAAGCCCCATGAACAATTTGCACACTAGCCAAAAGAGAAGAAAGGATATATAGAAATGTTACAATCTTTTTTTGAACTAAATCTATACAGTAACTAATGTTCAATACACTGTACTCCCAAGTATAGTATAAATCATTGAAAACCAAATCAAGATCCAGAACTCTCATCAAAGCAAAATATATGTCCGGCCCTCAGTCACATTCTCAAACGTACAAACAAAAGATTTAATGAAAGTTATCGTTGCTGAAATCCATACTTCCACTGCAAGAGCTAGTGCTGGCATTTCGACTGTGCAAAGAAAGGCCCCGGACATGATTGGCAAGACCCGAGCCGTCAGCCTTATGGTCCTGGAAGAATTTTTCCCTCTCAACATGTTTCGCCGGTGGTGGTGGAATCGAGGCAGCAGCTTTGCTTCCATTAGTATCATGTTTTGGCTCCAGAGTCAAAGGCCGTATAAGTGGACGATTAAGCATTCCTGCTCTTCCAGAAGATCCAAGCAAACCTAAAGTCCCATTGATTTGGGGGCTCTCATCACCTGGCTGAAGACATGCCTTTCCTTTTCTTATCCTGCATTAATGGAAAAAACAAAGTAGGCAAAATGATAAGAAGTCTGTAAGAGTTTGATGAATTCTGTTTTATCTGCATAGGTAAGACGATATTCACCTTCGAAAAAGCTGTTCTGCCTCCTCTTCTTCCTCTGGCTCCTCCAGGTGAACATGATTTGATGTTGATGTGGGCCTTGCAGACACAAGTGCATCGTGCCTTCGGAGAACTCTCTCAAGCTGATCATTGAGCTCAATAGCTTGAGTAACAAGCTTATCATCCCTGGGGGCAGGTAATGAACAACCAACATAAATATAAAGCTCGCAGTTTTGTCCCTCACTGCCAAACAACCGAAGATGATACATACATGAACTTTAATAGCATCCAAGTTCATTTGATTTTTATTTCCTAAAATAATTCCCCATGACAAAGATAAAGAACACCAAAACTGAAAAGAGTAAGAGGCGATACACAACTGGTCCAACATGAATACCGATCATTTACTCACTTCTCAAGTGTGCTGGTCAAATATTATATTGAAGAGAGACACATCGACAGCAAGGTATTCTATAGCAGCAATCTTACCCCACACAGCACTAAATTATAATGCCAAAGATTTCATTGCTACCGGCCCTTAAATTCCCTTATTTAATGAAGTAACTTCAAAATAAACTCGTAAAAACAAGACGAATATAAAACTTAAAACATATATATCTGCAAGCTGCTCACAGAAAAAGTTTGATTTTTTCCTTGTCTAGCTGAGTTGAAATTCTAGAAGATTGATAGTGCCAGAAACATGTTAAAAACTGATTTGAACCTTAAAAACATAACCACCGCGCCTTTAGACTTCCAATCCAAGGAAGTATGCTCACGAGGGGCATTCAGCGCAAGTTTTATGCACCGACGGCTATCAGTCAAATCCTTTAGATATGAAAAAATCTCAAAATGACTTAACAAATTCCTCAGTTGATAAAGGAGAACAATACGCACAGTTGCAAATTTTTGCTGAATAAATACAAAGAAAGACACAGTTTCGAAACTTCAACAAGAAGTATTGGCTGCTGAAATATACAATTTTAGTCTTCCATTCATGTGTAAATACTTCATTGAAATAGCAACTAATAAAAAATCGTGGGATGGGTGTTTGAAGGATAGATATGTCGAGAGTTAAAGAAGGGACTGAAGATGCATTACTAGCTAAAAAGTTCACTACCTTGATGTCATTGCAAGATGCATTACTCGCTGCTTTTGGAAAGCACACTGCTCAACCAGATCAAGAGTGAACTCATCCTTTGCTCCCTAGAGAACGGCATGAAAAATAGTGAACTTCTTATCCACTAGAGGATTAAGAATGCCAAAAAAAGTGCAACTACACTAAAGAACAGTTGCCTTCCATTTGAGAAAAATTAGAAGAGAAACAAAGTTCAGTATGTGAGATAAAAGTAGTTGACAAGTTGGGTTAAAACTTTGGCCACAAGATAATGTGAAAAGAAAAATAATCAAATAAAATAATCAAACTGTACCTCAGGATGGCGAGTATCAACGGCATCAATCACTTCTCGCAACACTTCCAATGCAGCTTCAGCCTTCTGTAGAATACTGGAGGAAAGAGATAGTTGTGAACTATGGAACAAGATTGCTCACAGACATAACACCACACAGAACTACGTCAACAAATTTAATTGATAATCTTGAATAGAAAGATATGTCCTCTTCATGGCTTAACGACTTTTAGTTTAATTGGCTTAATGGCTTGACTCTTTCTACCTAGTTGTGTTTAGACCTGGTTTGAAACTTCTTTTCAGCAAATTTGCCTTTTTTAAAAAAAAAAAAATTTATTAAAAAAAAAAAACAAAAAGATATGTTCTCAACATAATCTTGCGAGCATAGCATCCCACGTTCACCATGTTTTTGAGAACTTATATCAGCATTACAGAGCACATGATTCTCACGTCACTTCCCATCTCTATTTTCTCCGTTCCCTTTTCTCTCTCCGAATACGATTTTATCCATCCATCACTAGCTCTATTGGCTGAGTGGTGGACAAAATGCACAAATACTGGCAATCTAATCCTCACGGATTCAAATAAAACCTAAATGGCAAGAAGAACACTTCTTTTGTACTATGTGGCATGCCATACACCCCAAGGGACTTTCTTGACTTATTGCTGTCAACATATGGAAGGTACTTGGATATTATTGACATGAGAACATTTATACAAACACACAACCACTGTATGTAACTATTACAGCTCAGAAACCACATGAAACTCCTATTAAAGAACTTCGTAGAATGAACTGGGAAAAAATACATTAGACTATCGTAATAGTATCCCACGCAATGTGGATCAAAACGTGAAATGAAAATGATCGCATAATTCAACTTTGGTCATCTACAAAGATGCAAAAGGGGAAAGGAAAAATTCATTGTTAGTACACTTTTCTGTTTCCAGAAAGGCACCATGCATCAAACCCTAAAATTAAATTTGAATAGAAACTGCACAATAAGTATTACCTAGAATCTGAAATTTTCCGAGACTCAACTTTTGCCGTGTGTGTCTCAGCGGGAAGAGCTGCAGCTACTTCAGCTGGATTGCTGTTATTAGCATGAGATGCAGGTGCACTTTTCATGACAACATCAGGCCTCTGTGTAAACTGTACTCCCGCACTCTGGCAATTTTATTTGAATAGTTAATAAAAATGAAGATTCTATAACCCAAATACAGCATTTCACTACAAATAAAAGGAAAGTCTGAACTTAGGATGAAACTTGAACACACAGATATTTTTGGTATTACAAACATTGTTAGGTGGCAATTGTTTACTATGAAAGACAACAAATGAAACTGTATCATACGTAACAACCATTTCAACTACCCAAAGGCATGTAACAACGTTGAGTGTACAAGCAACCAGTTTTGCACGTACCACCAATTCATAGTATGCAGAATAATATTGAGGGAATCTCCCAGAGGCTCCCCCGACAGATGTTTGTGCAGCATCTAGCAAAAGAAAAATTTTCTCCCTTACTGGCAAGTCAGACTGCAGTCCGTTGCGAACCAAATTAGCCACAAAATACAAACACTATAAAGATTCAGCCCATAGAAGATAGAAAAGAATACCTTTTTCTTCACTATCTTTACAAGAACAGGGAGGACCCCTGTATCAATAACCTGCTTATGGACTGGTTCTCCAATATTGTTCATCAGCATCTCCAACAACTGCACTTTAAATGAGTATTTCATCATCTCATACAGGAAAATGTTGACCTTATCTACTTTCACAAAAGCAGAAAGGTAAAGACTCATTTCAAACAAACATAGCATATGGTCAACTGCTGATGTATGCATTCCAAATAAACATTTATTGTTCAATTATATACTCAACCAAATGTTTCCCATGTTAATTAAATAAAAACAAACTGAAGCCATGGCTTTCACATATCAGGAACATCAATAGCAGATTTTCATATATCAGGAAATCAGTAAAAAATATTACAGATAGCAGCCAACACATAAACTTTTCCAAATCATTTTATATAACATATGACTTCAGCGTTTTCCGAATACCTGAATTTTATCATCCTGATTGGGCAAGGGAAATTTCGCCTTTACAAAGTACACAGGAGATGAGATTTGCAAATAGGTAGTATAGGTATCACACTTTGTTCTACAACCGGAAGTGGGAACAGCCAGGTAGGTACAAGTAAACTCTACACAAAAAACCTAGCAACATGAAAATCTAACCCTTCTGAAAAATACCATAACAGAGCACACCTGGGTTGGTGAAATTGTACCATACAAAAGGCCTCTACTTACATACACATAGTAGTTACACAAAGGATAAACAAACACTTCAAAGAGGTTTCAGTTTTGACTTAGCATCTTAACTAAAAGGCAATAACGCTGAATACATTGTGTGTTATAAAGTAATCTTGCAATAATACTACTCAAACAAGGTCAAGTCAACTAAATGAAATTTACACATGCAATCGTTGGATGTTATGCAAAAAACAGTCCACTCACATTTACTGCAAGTAGCTGGACATTCGCATTTTTACTTCCTAAACGTTTCTTTATTGCTTTAATTACATCTCGAGCCTGCCTGCAAAACATAAACAGATCAAGACACTCGTCAGCTGACAAAAGACATTTCACTATAATCCCTAATCACTCAAAGGGAAAAAAAAAACAAAAAAAAAACCCATATTTTATTCTGATAATCAGTTTGAACACTCGTAAACTACTCGCATAAATTGCACAAAGCACAAAACAATACACCAATTAAATTTAGGGCAAGCACCCTGATCATCTGACGCAAATGCTAGCAAATCATATGATTGCAAAACAAATGGAACCACTTCTCAAGTGTTTCAATCAAATCCAACTGGATATACCTGTGGTCTCTTGCAACTAACTCACAAATTTCAATATTCTTCGTCCAATCCATTTCAGATAGTTTCTCACTGGTTGCGAGATTGACAAGTTCAGCAGCCATTCTTCTTCCTTCTTTAGCAGCCGGAAAAAACTACCAAATATTGAAAGTAAGAGATAGAGAGCTGGGTCGGCCGGCGAGTTCTCGACGGGAAATGATGGAAGGAATCTGATTCAGGGGACATGTGTTTCAGTGTCCGGTGACAGAACACGTGAAGACAAAAGACAGTCATAAAGAGACTCAGATACACAATTTTACAGCTCAAAGGTTGCCGAAAGAAAATCCTCAGGTACTTTTACATTCGACCCCCTACTCATTATGTTATATACGCACAATAACCCTGTACTTTGGTCATATTAAAAAGACCTTCCTTGACCTTGGGTCAACTAACTGAAACGAGCTATCCCAAGCTTCTTTTTAAAATAATAACCGTAGGATTAATTAGGCTAATTAACAACCGTAGGATTACAATGAGGGTGCATCATAGGTAAATACACCTAAAACTGAAAAAATTAAAGAAATTGGTTAATTTTGTCCAAAGCTTTAAGTATCTAGCCAATTTGACCCAAAAAGATTTTTGCGAACCCAAATCCATCATCTAAATTTCAATCTGGCCAATTTCATCCAATTGACAAAAATTCCGTTAGATTTAACACCTCTGCTGACATTCCGTTACGGATAAAATGACGGTTGTACCCAAAGTTTTAACCGCGTCGTTAATTTTACCCCGTTGATTTTTGGTTAGCCAATTTTGTCCTTTACGTTAGAAATTTTTGCCAATTTCATCCAATTGGCCCAGTATCCGTTAAATTTAAGGGATTTCAGTTAATTTTTAACAAAAATATATCTCAATAGTATCAAAAAATTATAAAAATAACCCCAAAATATGTAAAATCAACAAAATAATCTCTTTTCATTAATTACTTAATTATTTTTATTTTATTTTATTTCTCTTTACTACTTTTTATAACCATCAAAATATATTATAAGATCTTTAAAATAATAAGTATTTATTTTCAAACTCTATTTTTCATGTGCAAACATGTGAGTTTGGTTCAGAAGTAATTTTTTCATATTTTTAAAATTTTTAATTAATTTTTTTTGTTATTTACTATTCTTTTTCTTATACTTCCTGACTTGTGTCTGTTGCTACTGGTATAATTACAAAATTTCAATAATTAATTTACTTTTTATTTCATAGATTATAAAAAAAAGTTTAAAAAATAAAGAAGATGAGGAAGAAAAAATCGAGTTGAAATAAATACGAAAATTAATAGGTTATCATTCTAAACAAAAAAAAAATCTAAAAAAAAATTACTAAGACAAGTCTTTTCTCCTTAACTTCTTGTAATTCATAGGTAAGTTACGAAATATAAATTTTACTCGATCTAGCCTAAAATGATTATTTTGTTTCTGATAGTAAAAATAATATAAAAATTAGATAATCATTTGAAATAGAAAAAAGTGCTAATTTATTTAGTCCACGACAATGAATTATTTTAAATTTGGTTAACACAATTTTTATTGTTTTTTAGTAATTGTTGTTAATTATTACCAATTTTTAACATACTGAATTTCACTAATATAAGTGATTGCATTTGAAAGTAAGAAGACTCTGACATGATTACAATAAGGAAAACTATGCATTTTAATCACACTATTCTGTGGTTGTATGACCCTGTTGGTCCTCACTTGGCCGTTCAAACCATGAAATGAAGTAGATCGATCCCATCATATTTACAAGAAAGTGCTCCTCTGTAACGTCATCCGTGGAGCTCCAATTTGGAGGAAAGTTTTTCATGGACATCAAAACCCGATTCATGGACATAGCTATATATTTGAACCGCTAACAAATTCAGCTTTAACATCAAGCCTTTGATAAGAAAGCGCATGCCTGACAGATGAGGAATCTTTAATGGGAAAAAACCACTTTATGTACCCTAAGAATAGAGGGTTTCCAGATCATACACCCTAATAATTGGTCTTTCAGTTTTTAAGGGCAAAATGAGAAACTAACCTAAACTACTATGTTTTTGTTGATTTTATCCAAATTTATCTTTCAGTTAGATTTCAACAAATTGTGCTAGATTTTGAGTTAAAAATTTCTCACGACTTCCAGTGTTTATTATTTTAATGTACATATTGTTTTATTTTAGCAAATTTTTCGTTATTATAAGTTTAATTTATATTTTTATTTGTCATTTTGCATGATTATTTTGAAAATATTTTTTATTATTTCCTTTTTGTACATGTTGTTTAATTCTTTTGCACTTTGATGCAATTCTAGTAACACATAATTATTTTATTGTACGCAAATTTTTGGAGTTTATTTTAGGCAAATAAAAACAAAATCTAAAAAAAAAATGCGTTCGTAGAAATGCGTCAAAGTGCCAAGAACTTGAACAAAAGTACAAAAAAGGAAGGACTAAAAAAATATTTTTTAAAAATAATCATGGGGAAATGATAAATAAAAATATAAATTAAACTTGTAGTAACAAAAACTCGCTAAAATAAAATAAATATAGTAAAAAATAATAAACACTTGAAATCATGGGAAATTTTTGACCAAAAATTTATGTAATTAGTTGAAATCTGATTGAAAGATAAATTTTTGTAAAATTAACAGAATTTATGGTGCAATTTGCTCTTTATAAGCCCGTAGCCTGGGAGCTTTTATAAGCCCGTCTCGATCCCCGTGGTCGACAGCACTGTACGGCCTCCGCGGCCTACGGCATTCCCACGGTCTCTGTGGTCTGGGAGCTTTTATAAGCCAGTCTCGATCCCCGTGGTCGACGGCACTATACGGCCTCCACGGCCTACAGCATTCCTACGGCCTCCGCGGTCTGGGAGCTTTTTAAGCCCGTCTCGATTCCCGTGATCGACGGCACTGTACGGCCTCCGCGGCCTACTGCATTCCTACGGCCTCCGCGGTCTTGGAGCTTTTATAAGCCCGTCTCGATCCCCGTGGTCGATGGCACCGTGTGGCTTCCGCGGCCTACGGCATTCCTATAGCATCCATAGGCTTTGATGCGTTGGAACCTGTATTGCCTTCCAGAAGGCACGAGTTTAAGGCAGATGCTACTTGACAGCCTGGAGGTGCTAGAGAGTCAGTCAGACCCCTTCGACCTTCTGGGGATGAAGGTCCGATCCCGCCACACTTAATCAGGTACATGACATCAGGTACATGACATCTTTCTAAGATCTTTTTTGAACGTACCATGTTTTCTTTTTATCTTGAAGATCTAGCATACATGTGAATTGTGCCAACTCAAATACTATAATGATATAACCCATCTAGCCCCAGCAGCTGATGGGCACTAATTACTCCTTGAAACCGTGTCGGTAAGCTTGTGGGTACGAAACTCATATGGTCTTGATTTGCCTTAGGGTTAGAAGCTCACGTGGCATTGATCAACCTTCGAGTTTCACACTCGTATGGGTTTGACTTGCCTTCGAGTTGAGCACTTACACGGTGTCGATTAGACTTGGAGTTATACGCTTCTACAGTTTAGATCCACCTTTGAGTCAACAGCCCCTTACGGCATCGGCCTTCTTTGGAGTTTTATGCCCAATAAGCTTTCGTTCGCTTGTGGGTTACTTACATCCGTAGTCTCGATCAGCCCTAGACTCGGCCTAACTTCGTCCGGTGAAATCCTACTGCTTCCTTCCCAAGCAGGGGGGGAGGGCTCCTAAGGTGGACGATGTTGCTTTTTATCGTAGCCTACCGGGGCAACAAGCATCAAGGCTGGGGGGAGGGGCAAAGAAGTTTAAATAACACCTTTACTTCAAAATCCTCTCAAACTTTTTTCCATTATCATCTCAAATACGATAACTTTTCATGTGCTCATGTTCATCCAACCGAATGGAAACACGACGAACGGCATAAGTCATACGGCTTCGACTGACCTTAGGGTTAAAAACTCACATAGCGTTGGTCAACCTTTGAGCTCTATAATCATACGATCCTAACTCGACTTCGAATTATACGCTCTTACAATTTTGACCACCCTGAGTTAACAACCCTCACGGCCTCAATCAAGCCTCCTTATCTCATACTCTCTCGACTCTGACTCTATCTTGAGAAAGGTACACACACTTACTTGATCAGCCTAGGTGACGTACGAATTCCGTTTTGACCAAACACGGCCAATGGCTAATCACCTACGTAACTCCAATCAATTGAGTCAACTAAACTCAACACGTGCCTTCCATGATTGAACCAATAAAAGGAATTGAGTGCCTTCCATGATTGAACCAATAAAAGGAACTCGGGGGGAAGGTCAGGCTATGAGGCAAACTTGGCCCAAAAATATAGTTCCTCCTATTGGTCCGGATCCGCTAACACGTTATATGAGTTAGAAAATACCATAATTCGATAGTCTCCCGGGTTCAAGATAAACGATTACAGGACAAAGTCTTACACATTAAATTGAAAAACCCGAAGGGGCAATCTTTAAACCTAGCATGAAATGGTACTTACATTCTATGAGGGCCCACTCTGATAGGCCTTCAGACAAAATTCTGTGATGGTCTTGTGTGTGCATCAAAGGGGGAGCAAAAATTCACCAAAGCTTCTTCCTGAATAAGCGTAACAACCATCCTTTCACTTGAGTGGCCTCCATGTTATTCAGCAGTAGCCACATCTTCTATTCTTGCTTCCCCCACCCTCGAAGGAGGAAGCAATTCTCATTAATGAATCCTTCAGGGTCGAATCATAATCCCCGATGGTGCATTATTGACTTCACACAAATTTAACGATAGTCTTCGATGGTGCTATTTGGACAATACTTTGTTACGCTCCGTCGCCATTTTTTTATCAAAGCGTGACTTCTTCTCAAGAGTTTATATATATACATACATATATATATATGTATATATTACTTGGTTTCAGCAACCAATGTCGCGCTAATCCTCTTGGCTCAGTCCATTATGACGCAGGTCAATGTGGGAGTCTGTTTATTGACTCGTCTAAAGTTTAGGATAAGACTCCTCCTATTTACCTACGCTTGTGAACATTTTTTTACCTTCGACGATGAAAGGGGCAACCTGTTCACCCCACCTTC